GTCTCACAGATGTACACTTATCCCCAAATCATACAGTTGCATACGTTGGATATGTGCATCTTCTTACATGTCAGCCATCCTTCCGTAAAGTGGTTAAAGATAAGAACACTAGACTTGTAGGAATTAGTGTTGACATCAAATATTGAAAAGCACTTTGGATTCCGTTTTGGATTTCTGATTTCCAACCAGATTCTGGATTACAAGTTAAATCACATGGTTCTATAATCATCATCTCAGAGACCTGCCAAGGAGAACCTTACAAACTTTTTATTGATGATGAATTAATACACTTTAATAAGTGGGTAAAGGATGTAAAAAGTATGCAAGGGAATGTATTGTGTTGAATGTAAGAATTCATTATGAAAATTGTTTCTGAGAACTGGAGATGGAACTCAGAACTGAACTTTAGTCAGTTCAGAAGCGATTGAAATTTTCAGATTGTCCCAGTCAAATAATAAGATGGAATCAAATCCACAACAAACCTATGAAAGTACTGTAGGAGTTTCACTGTCCAGATGACCCAAGGTCCACACTATTAGTGACTATGGCAATCTCTCCTGAGTATTCTGTTACTGCTTTTTACTTTATATTTCTGTAACCTAGAAGAAAGGAGTCATCTAATTTCTATTTTTGAAGAGCTAGAGCAAGTACCTGGGACTGAAATCTGTCATGCCCCCTTGTCATCAGAGAGTTTTTCCAGGGAAACTCGGTTATTGCTTTGGGTCATGCACAGAATCAAGGACCTGGGGCAGATGCTGATTCCAGTACCTGATGAGGGTACAGAGCAGGAAAACTAGAGGCAGTTAATGACATCGGTGTCTAATAAGATGTTGCACAGACAGATGACCAAGCCGGATGGGGGAACGGGGCTCAGAGTCTGAGTGCTTGGTGGCGCCCCACGGTGTACAGCATGCCAAGGGAAACTGAATCTCTCATAGAGACTGAGGGTAAAGTAAATCAGATCCAATAATTAGCAAATCATGTTTCAAAAACTGGCGTTCTAATGTTTCATTAGTCAGGTTATCCACACACTCAATAATCAGACTAGGGCTTTATTGGATAAACTGTGTCTGACTGCAGCTGTGTAGGAATAATTCGATAGGACACGCCTGAAAAAAATGCATGAACAGATTTAAGCCAATATTAGGTAAAAAGGACAGTTAGTACTCAGAAAAGTTTAAAAGGGAATATATTTTTAAAAGTGTAAGTCATGGGATGTGCAATGTTTTTATCTCTATATGTTAGCTCAAGTATTTTTTAAAGATTTTATTTGCTTATTTGAGAGAGAGAGATAGAGAGCACACGTGGGGAGGAGAGGGAGAAGCCAGCTCCCCACAAGCAGGGAGCCCCATGAAGGGCTTGATCCCAGGACCTTGGGATCATGACCTGAGCCAAAGGAAGATGCTTAACCGACTGAGCCACCCAGGTGCCCCTAGCTTGAGTGTTTTTAAAGATAACTTCTCCAAGAGTAAGGAGCGTACGTAGAGAAGAGGTTCAGTACATAGCCTCTAAAATATTATTGGAACCTAAGACTTACAGCAGGTACACTCAAAAAAAGAAAAATAAAAGTGGAAGGGGGATCCCTTTGGGATTCATGTCACCAAGAAATACTCATCCATTTTCATAAATGTGCTGTACTGGACAGGTACAGGTGGGTAATCCTTACCTAGTTCCAGAGTAACTGTCTTTGTGACCTCAGGCATGTAACTGATCATTATAGTAATGTCCTCCCTTCCCCTCCAACATACCCAAAGGTCCCCATGGAACACATTCTGTGCACTCTCTGGAACTTCTCCAGGCTTGGCCAAGTATCTATGATATCCATATTTCTCATTCTTTCTAGCTGATGGAATTCAGCTTGGCACCAAGTGTTTCTACCTGGACCTCAAGTGCAAGTGCTGGCTCGTAGTGTGTGGGGTGGTGGGATGTTGAGGCAGGTGAAGAGCTCCACAAAGAGATACCAGTGTCTCTCCCATGCACTACACTCTGCTGGGCACCACTTGGCAAAGTAGACTGTCAGGTTTTCTCAGCAGGTCTGACTTGGTCTGACTTGTGTTCATTAACCTCATTGGTGATTTCACTCGTGACCATAAAGTTGAAGGAACTTGGTCCTTAAACCCTGCTGGTAGCTCAGGAATGCCAATCATGCGAGCCTCAGCCCACCAGATCCTGAGACGGGGATCCCGCACAAAACGGGAGGAAGGAAGCAGATGGACGAGCTGTTTGTGGGGGTCGAGTGGGTGCCCACGAACTCCTCTGGAAGGCAGCCTACTTCCCATGAGGCAGAGCGCACCTGCACACAACCACGACAGGGACTGTTTCAGAACACCCTCCCTCCGTCGTGGGTGAATAAATCAAGTTATCCCTGCCCCCGGCAGAGAGATACAGCTGAATCTCTTAGTGGAGCCTCCAAAATAAACCAGAAGGGATAGAAGAGTGGATGGGTCTGACCGCAACGGCACAGGACTGATTTGATAGGATAAGATTGGAAAAAAAAAAATAGGGGCAGATTTAGGAGATGTGTAGACACAACTCTTCCAACATAAGGAGCAGTTCAGTTTTCCCCACTGGCGCTCAGGGATTCTTTATGATTGTCAAGCATCGTCACTGCTCACTAATTTAAGGGTGCTGGAGATGCCCGGGACCCAGAGCTCCAGTGTTCCTTCCAGGAGGCTCTATGCGACCTAAGATACCAGAGTGGCCACCGGTATTGAGGGCATCCATGTCCGCGACGCACCTGTCCTCCACCACGGGCAAGAGCAGCCACCAAGGAGAAGCCCAGCCTGGGGTTTCAGAGCCGTCAGGCAGGAAACCAAGTATTCTCAACCCTGCAGAGAGGGGGATGCAGCAGGATCTCATCCTTCTTTTTTTTTTATTTTTTTTTAAAGATTTTATTTATTTATTTGAGAGAGAGAGAATGAGAGAGAGAGCACACGAGAGGGGGGAGGGTCAGAGGGAGAAGCAGACCCCCTGCCAAGCAGGGAGCCCGATGCTGGACTCGATCCAGGGACTCCAGGATCATGACCTGAGCCGAAGGCAGTCGCTTAACCAACTGAGCCACCCAGGCGCCCGAGGATCTCATCCTTCTTGAAGCAATAACTACCTCTCTGCAGCAGACTCCCTCTTCTTTGCACTGTCATCTCCGGCTGGGTCCTTCTTTCGAGCTCTGAACCCATGATGGCCCTTGCTTCGTACAGCTCCACCTTCTCATCCACCACACGATATGCCTCTACTAAGGAGAGCTGGGACACACCATGAAAGTACAAACAGAGAAATGCAGGAGCTCAGCAGGGGCAGGCAGAGTCCTGTGCAGCCCTGGGATCTGTCGGGCGTCCTGGCAGAAGCGTCCGAGAGCCGGCTCAGTGCCGTCCGTCTGTGTAGGTTGCCTACACCCTCACTGCCAGAGACTCTGATACCGTGCTCCTGACGGTCTCCCGAGAAGAGCAGAAGCACAAACATGAGCACACAGTGTCTTCAGGATGCAGGCCAAGGAAACACTTTGCTGCTCATGGAGGTATAAGACCAGGGACCTATTTCTATCTCCTGGGCTGCACGCATGACTCCAAATGCCAGAATGCACCTATGCAGTTGTTTTTCACGTTATAAAAAATAATTAATCTTTCAAGTACATTAGACGTTCTCCAGGTGGGTAATTCCCACTACTTCATTGGGTTTGGTGATAGTTTTATTGTGGATGTAATGCATTACGGAGCCTTACAATGATCTGTCTGTGCTCCATAAACATTTTGTTTTGGCTCAGAAGAACTTGAATCTTTCTTTTATAAGCTCAGGGTTGTTCTAAAAAGCATAGAATACTATTTTGTTGCACTGAAAGGGGTCTCTGTAGTCCTCTCTTCTGCCCTACACCTTTATCCTCACTGCAGAGAGGACATCAAATGCACAGATAGAGTAAAGGGTTTGCCCCCAGCCACTGGGACCCGTGACTTGCAGTGACTGCCTGAGAATTAGTTGCAGGGCCCCTTTCTGAGCCAGGAATATCTGGAGAGAGTGCAGTTTTCACAGCAGCTGTGTCATTCACTGGTGTGGGGGTCAAAGCCTGAGACAATCAGGGGTGCTTTCTTTTCCTCTGCACCTGTGGAAGCACATTGCTAATTCCCTCCCAGAAGCCAACAAGCATTCAGGCTAATAGAGTGCCATTCAGATTAACCAGAGCCTGTCCTGTGTGCCCCAGTGGACTGTTCTCTGCTGGGCTGTTTCTAAAGGAGGAAGAGGCTTCAATCAGAGGCTGGCTTGATTTACATTTCTATTAAGTGTTGATAGAAGAATTGTCATTTTTATTTGCATTCCACATGCAGCAGAAACGGGACTTTAGGCACACATATTGAAGCATTAATTAATACATGTAGGTGGCCATGGGGGTGATTAATGACTGTGCCACAGACAGCCCTAAAATACTACATCCGAGTAAAAACATTTAAACGAAACTAACTTGAGCAGGTTCTATTTTAACACTTTCTTTTTTTAAATATTTTATTTATTTATTTGACAGAGAGAGACAGTGAGAGAGGGAACACAAGCAGGGGGAGTGGGAGAGGGAGAAGCAGGCTCCCCGCTGAGCAGGGAGCCCGATGCGGGGCTCGATCTCAGGACCCTGGGACCATGACCTGAGCCAAAGGCAGATGCTTAATGACTGAGCCATCCAGGTGCCCCTATTTTAACCTTTTCATAACATAAAAACTTAACGAGGAAAACTATTTTCGGATTTCACATTGAAGTCTCTTCTTAGGAAATAAATAAAGGAAATTAGCCTCACATCATTAAAATTGCCAGAGTAGCACATCCATCGCTTGACAGTTTTGGAAGCATAATGGCCCAAAGCAGGAAGTGAAGGACAGCGTGATGATGAGCCGCCGCCGTGATGTCATCTTACAAACTTCGTAATGTGATGAGGAGCGGGCCCCCTCTCTGCAGCTCTCTTCTGCTTCTAAGTGTATCTAAATGATGTCTACCTTTTTTTTTTTTTTTTTTTTTACCCCTAGTGGTGAACTGCTCAGATCCAGGCTTTGTGGAAAATGCCATTCGTCACGGGCAACAGAATTTCCCCGAGAGTTTTGAATATGGAATGAGTGTCATGTATCATTGCAAGAAGGGATTTTACCTGTTGGGATCTTCTGCCTTAACCTGCATGTCTAATGGCCTATGGGATCGTTCTTTACCCAAGTGTTTGGGTAAGTAAGGGTTATTTTGGATTCTTGTGCCTCAGAGCCCGTAAGACCACCAAGAGAACAATAACAACAACATTTTAAGTCTTTATAAATTGTATAAGTTATATGATACCTTTATTGACTGGCCAGAAAGCACAAACTACAACTCAAACTAGTTTAAGGGTCAAAAAGGAGAGGGGACACTGGTGTGTTCTCATACCTGGCTTCAGAGAGAAATGGACCCGAGTGTATTGGACAGCACTTGGACTCATTCTCTGCTTGTCTCTACTTATTACTGCTTGTCTTCTACTTGAACCCAGCAGACACGCTTATCCTACATGGCTCAAACATGGTGGCTAGTGACCTCAACACCCTGTACCTCTCAGCTTCACTTTGTCTGGATCTAGATTCAGAAATATTGGCAAAGGGCTCTGGTAGGGAGTATCTATCTGTTGACCTACCCTCTATGGCCAGAAGGACCAAGTAACCTGATGGACCTAATATAGGTCTCATGAGCAGTTCTGGCACCAAGAGTTAATACAATAGAAAAGGTAGTATCTTGATAGTCTCTTCCTCCTGACCCATATGATTAAATAAGAGGGAGGCAGATTGCCCTAAAAGAATGGGGGTAATATTCTGGGCAGACAAATTACAGATGATCACTTATGGCCTCCCTCAAAACATGATCAGTATTTTAGGCCATGGAGACTAAGAAGAATACACTTTTCCCCAAGTAGGTATAGTCTTAACTTCTTTTAACTTGAAAAAGCATATTGTCCTTTAGCTTAAAGACTTCATCTTATTACAACAGTCTGACAGTTTAGGAAAAGGGGTGACTCTCTTGGTCTTTTAAAAATCATTCAGAAACAAAACAATCCTTAAAATCCAAATGTTATCTTCTTTGTATTCATTTTGTGTGCATAAAGAATGTGGGAAATGACAATCACATCTTAAATTGAATTTACCGGAAAAAAAAAAGTGGTAATCTATCTTACCTCTTAGAATTGCAGCATTTTTGGTACATTTTCAGAATAAATTAGTCCTGGACAATTTTTTTTCCCCTGTGATCCAGTGTCCCTCGTAACCCCTCCCAATCTACATGGAACCTTGTCTCAAATTATAACAATATAATTAATTTATATGGAGAAAGAGTGACTTCTTTCAAAAGAAATGCACAGCCTCATATGATCAAAAATGCATCTGTAAAAGTATTAGAATCTTCATCAAATTTTACCTGCTTTCTGATTTTCTCAGCCTTCACACGTGGGAATTTTTCAGAGAAATTAGTTTTTCTTTCTTTGTCTCCCCAAACATTTCTTTTGCGTCTTCCTGGGTTGATGTGAGACTTCCATTAGTTTTTGTAATGATGCCAGTGTGCTCCAAATCTCCAGGAACTAGGTTGTAAGTGACTCTCATTCTCCTGGGTGGCTGGTTCCCACCACTTGTTGTCATTAACAGTTGGAATTACCATGCATCTGGGAATACAGGTTCTCAGAGGAGCTGTTTGCTTGTACATGCTTTAGAGTGGTGGCCAAGAGCAGTTTTGCTGTTATGGTTTTACTGATTTTTTTTTTTTCTCTCTCTTAATTTCACCCGGAACTGTCATTTACCAAATGCTTCCTGACTTGGCTCTAATTAGCTTCCTTTTTAGAACTCTGTCTAGGTAAAATCTCATTCACCAATGAACGGATGTCAATGTTAAGACCGGATCAATATAAGGGTTAATGTGACTCATGGGGATGCTCAATGCCTTTCCACCTTCTACATCTACCTCTTCGGTTGAGATCACTTTTGGGTTAACAGTGATCAAATGCAAGTAGTCTAGCTGTTAAATCAGCAGCCTTTGAATAATTTGTTGGGAGCCTGAGTTCAATCAGCTGTTTGCATGTACAACAACATTTGGCCATTGTTAACCCTAATTTGGGTCTTTATAGAAAAGGAGAGAAAAATCTTCACTGTTCCTACATTAATCTGGATTCCAGAGTTTTCCTCTTTGAAAGATAATTTATGATTAGATTATAGCCCTGATTTGGCATGATTTTAAAGAAATGAATGAGAATACTGAGATTATTTTATAGAGTAACTTGAGGAAAAATTTAATCATTAATTTATTATTATTACTTAAACATTTTAAACTGCTGCCTGTTCAAAGAAAAATTGTTAGAAGTGTCACGGTAGATCCATGACCTGGAAGAGTAAGCACATAAGACAGAGCTCTGAGCCACGCAAGTATATAATTATCACATTAGCTGAAGACATAATGGAAATAGTTTTCATGAATCTATGTAATTTCTAACTTTTTGTATCATACTGCTTTTTTGGATTACAGTTAAAGACAAATGGAAAAAAATGTAGGTAGAGTAACTTTCTCTTTGAAAGCCTAGCTGTAAATTTCTCTCTTAAGCAAAACTACCTCAAGATAAAACAAAACGAAACAAAAACAAACGTCAGCGACAGACCCCCTTCTTGTCTTTAGTAGTACCTGAATATTGAAGGTGGGGGAGTGTCACTTGGAAAATGATATTGGTTATCTACAGGGGACTGCAGGAATTTGACAGTATGTTTAGCTGCTTTTCATTAATAGGTGATGTTTGTATGGGTGTCTGTGTGGAAGACCTACCAAGGTAAAGCAGTTCAACAGAACTGATGTACTCATTTACTTTAATTTTTCCTTCAGCCATATCATGTGGCCACCCAGGGGTTCCTGCCAATGCTATCCTAACTGGAGAACTGTTTACATATGGTGCCATAGTTCACTACGCGTGCAAAGGGAGCCGGGATCTTGTAGGCAACAGCACTCGAGTTTGTCAAGAGGACAGTCACTGGAGTGGAACGCTACCCCACTGTACAGGTGTGGAATGATACCATTAGATAGTGACTTGAAAGGTTGTGTAACTGTGCAGTTATTTGAGGTTATTATTCCATGTCCGGCCAAATACACCAGTGTTCTATGTGGTCATCTTCATCCTCATCAATAACTTTGAGGGCCAGTCACTTCACACTTCCTCCTGTGGGAGTCCTTAGAGTTCTTCGTCACCCTGGCCAAGAGACCTGCCTCCCTTCATTCAGTTTGTCCCTGTCCATTCTTGATTCCTTGCCCATGCTTCCTCTCAATTCTTCCACATCTTTCCTGTCTCAGGAATTGATCAATACATTGTCGCCCTTTGAAAAAAATTCTTAATTTTTTCATGAATAGTTCTTAAATAAATAAAACTCAGTGAATCAACAACTCTGGACATAACTGAGAAGAATCAAACCTCTCATTTGATTGTTCATTACCCAATACACTTTAATCCTGTTTCGCTTTTATTATCCATACTGACGCAATGGACAAACCCTGCATTCATTATTCCTAGAATTTTATTTCTTCTAGAGAGTATAAATTTTTTGTCATCCACATATTTTGATAAGCTAGTTTGTGTTTAGTTATACAGGAACAATTTCTTCATGATTTTTACTTTTGCACTATGATAAAGAAAGTCTTTCTCACAAGATTTCCAGAATGCACAATGACTATAACACATTTAAATACCTTTTCATTCCGGGGTGTCTGGGTGGCTCAGTCGGTTGAGTGGCTGACTCTTGGTTCCCACTCAGGTCTCACGGGTCATGGGAACAGACCCCACCAAGAACCCCTCCACTGGGCTCTGTGCTTAGCAGGGAGTCTGCTTGAAGATTCTCTTCCTCTGCCCCTCCAGGCCACCCCTTCCCCGATTGTACACTTGCGAGTTCTCTCTCTCTCACATATAAATAAATAAATAAATAAATAAATAAATAAATAAATAAATAGCTTTTCATTCTCTTTAAACATAACAGCTCTGTTATAAACTTGTCTAACAACATTATGTTTCACCATATTTGTTTCTGTTCAATAGGAAATGACCCTGGATTTTGTGGTGATCCTGGGACCCCAGCACATGGGTCACGGCTTGGAGATGAACTCAAGGCCAAGAGCCTTCTCCGCTTCTCCTGTGAAATGGGTTACCAGCTGAGGGGCTCTCCTGAGCGGACATGTTTGCTCAATGGCTCGTGGTCAGGATTGCAGCCCGTGTGTGAAGGTGAGTACATTCAAGTCATAAAGTCAACCTTTACAGTTGGAACTATGTATTTCATTCTAAAATGACTGGTACCATTCCACAGAAATCCTAGAGACTGAACCTTTGTATCATTAAACTACTTTCCCCCCCAATGTATAAGAAATCATCAAAATTCATGACTGGGTACATGGAGATACCCTGACTATTCAAATGATTATCTAACAGATCCTTACCTTTTGAACATTTATAACCTAGAAGGGGTTTCTAATCTAATAATAATCTCTATGTGATTTGGTGGTGTTTTGTGGTTGCTGGTAGTGAATAACTGGGAAAAAGGAACAGTGAGTAGAAGCAGTATAAATGCTGATGGGAATTTTTGCAGGCTGGGATAGGCTTCACTCCCCATGTGATTTCCAGTCTATTGGTGGCCCTTGTCCAAAACACTGCATTACCAAAGAACTTAGGGTGGTTCTCTGTATAATATTTTGGAGTGAATATATTTTATTTTAATATTTGAGAGGCCTAAGAGGACATGGTGGGATATCTCAGTAATAACAGTGAAAGACCATGAATACTTACCGTGTCATGTGTTGGTGATGCTTGCCTTAAGCAAAGGTGTGATGAGATACCACAGATTTGTTTAGAGTCCAAAAAGGAACTGATTTAGAATTCAGACAGATAAGTCTTAAGTGTTAGAAATATTGAGCAAACAAACTTCTCAACTACTTAATGTCGAGTCCAAAAAGGTTACACAAAATAAATATCCAATTTTTCATGTCTGAAACAGTTTCTATATAAGTTGACCAACTTGAATAAACTCATGCAATATCAATACCAGAAATATATAAATATAAATATAAATATAAATATAAATATAAATATAAATTGTTTTCTTAATCTTCATTTTCTCTACTGTGTCATCTCTACTTCTATCTATCTCTCACTTTATGATATGTATTATATAGAACAATAGAAAATAATATATGTATATAATCTAATTATATTGTATGCAATCAGACTACTTTATTTGTAACCTTATAAAATCATATATAAATATAAATATAATCATATATATGAAAATATGTGTACATATCTTATACACATGCATGCATATATATGTGCGCATATGTTCTCATCTGAGTAGAAAATTATCTTGGACGTATCTACACCTAGATAGAGATATATGTATATATAATAATCCAAGGTAATTTTTGACTCTGAGTCACCTCCTCACAATCAAGTTAGTGTAAATCTTAAAATTAGGCCCTAAAGAAGTTGACTTAAATCAAACATGATTGAATATTAGTGGGTGGATGCCACCTGCCACTGTGAGTTGCAGAATGATACCTCTTACTGAAATATGGGACTCTAAATTAGCACTTTTTCTTACTCAGACACAATTTTCTCAATTTCCTCCCCTTTTGTAGTGTTTGAATATTAAAATTGGCATGATAGCATCTCTTTCTCACTAAAAACAGAGTGTTTTCTATTCTATAGTATGGTACCTCAAAGTTATACATACATTTTGTACCTGCATTTTGTAACCTACATTTACACCCCATCTAGTCTTTTCCCTCTGTACTACACAAGGGAATTGTTGGTCCAGAATATATTTAAATATTATGAAAATTAAATAAGAGTTCCACTTCACTCCACGACATGTTGAATGACAATAGGCTAGCCTTCTTACTGAGGACAACCATAAAACAACAAAACATATGAGACAATTATCTTATTAAACAACAGATAGTGCATGACTATATTCTGTAGGAGAAATCAGGGAGGTGAGCCCGTAATCACCCCATCATTCTGTATATTTTTCTTACCATTCAGTTGGAAAGTGGAACCTAGGTGGTAGGGTGGCTTGGTAAGGTGATGTGGTAGAAATTATTCTAGGCTACTGAAATAGAACTTGCAGAACAGGGCCAGCTGATAATGGGACAGCCCCATAAGTCTGGTGAGCATTCACTGACTGAAGGCCAGACAGACAAGCATGAGTGAGACCAGTGATGCAATGACCTTTGGCTGCAGAGTTGAGAGTGGACCTGCGATATTAGAGGTCATACCCTACTGAGAAACACTGGACATCTGGCCAGTCAGAGCTCTCACTGTGTACCTAGCACATTTCACAGATGCAGAAAACTCCATGCATTATAAATAGGTACCACTCCCTAAAATAAGAGGAACATGCTAGAACTAAGAGCAAAAACATGTTAGGACTAGGTCTGAATAGATCTCCTCTAACAGAGAATGAAACTGATGGCAGGACCCAGAAGATCTACAACCAGTTTAAAAGTCCACCAGAACAAATCCCAGCATCTTTTGAAGGAATGACATAATCCAGGCAACATTTTGTTCACAATGTCCAGCATACAATAAAAAATTACTACATATGCAGACCTCAGAACAATATGACCCATAGTCAAACAAACAAACAAACAAAACCATAGAATTAGAACCTGATCCTGAGATGCCCCAAATGTTGAAAATAATGCACAAGGACTTGAAGCAGCTATTTAAAATATCTTCACAGACTTAGAGTCATAAACAGATAGGTAATCTCAACTGAGAAATGAAAATAATAAAAACACAATCAGATAGAAATTCTGGAATTGAAAAATACAGTATCTGATATAAAAACTTTTCTAGATGAGTTTAGCAGATTAAAAATGGCAGAAGGGTCAGTTAACATGAAGACAGATCAATGAAAATTATTCAATCAGAAAACAAAGGAAAAAGGAAAAAAAAATAATATCCCATGGGATAATATCAAGTAGTTTAACATACTTGTAATTGGAGTTCTAGAAGAAAAAGAACAGAGAAAGAATGGAGCAGAGAAATGGTTGAAAAATTACTGGTTAAAAGTTAACCAAATTGGGGAGCCTGGTGGCTCAACTGGTTAAGCAGCCAACACTTGATTTCTTTTCTTTTTTTTTTTAAGATTTTATTTATTTATTTGAGAGAGAGAGAATGAGAGATAGAGAGCCCGAGAGGGAAGAGGGTCAGAGGGAGAAGCAGACTCCCCGCCGAGCAGGGAGCCTGATGTGGGACTCGATCCCAGCACTCCAGGATCATGACCTGAGCCGAAGGCAGTCGCTTAACCAACTGAGCCACCCAGGCGCCCCAACTCTTGATTTCGGCTCAGGACATGATCTCAAGGTTGTGACCTTCAGGCCGTATTGTGCTCCATGCTGGGAGCCTGCTTAGGATTCTCTCTCTCCCTCTCCCTCTGCCCCGCCACCCCCCCCAAAAAAATGTTTACCAAATTTGTTGAGAAAACATAGCTCCCAAAAGCAGAACAAACCTCATTTAAATACATTTATATTCTATTACAAATGGTCATTCACTTGAGTCTGTACTTCTGTATCAGGTTTCTGATATAAAAAGCACTTTACTTTGCACATTTAAAAGGTGAAAATAATTTAAAACAGTTGAGAGTGAGTGATGTTTTTCCATAGAAATCTCACTTTGGTGCAGTGATACAACACCATGAGTTCTATTCCAGCAAAACATAAATGAATTCATTTATTTGATTAGGAGAGCTTAATTGGATTTCACTTCATAATACACCTAACTTAGACTATACAAGTATTTTTAGAATAGCATTTGGTTTATCTAAAGTTAGAAATTCAAGTGTTTCTTATAAAATCCTTAGAAACTTGGCCATTAAAATCTGTGTACAGAAAGAAGCAGAAATGTTTCAATATGGCAAGTATTTCTCAAATATGCTATTCCCCACAAAATTGACTACCTCCAAACCTGCATTGTATAGAAATCACAGGAAGTTGAGTAATAATAGTATAATTTACTCTCACTGTAACAACAAATGATGGGAAGGAATATATGCCTAATCCTACCCCCCCCCCCGCCAAGATACATGTTTAAAACTTTTTGGACACTCTGTATCTTTCTATTTTTTTATTCTCTTGTTATCATAGGTCTGGATCTTTGGGACACATATTATTCTCTATAGAAAGGGGGGTTACCAGTGACTTTCGCATTTCCACCAATGTTAACCATGATTATGTATTCAGTCTACTGAGAGTATCTCCTTCCTGATGAATCACCTTTTTTGAATCTATCAAAAGCCTTAGAGCCTGATGGGACATTTGAATAAATGGTAAAAAGAAAAACCAAGAGTTCATAAAGTACAAAATAAAGAACATAAGATAAAAATATTTTAAAAACTCTTAAACATCAAAGAACTTATATTTCTAATATATTTCCATGATTTCAGATCATGTTTTCTTTGTTAGCAATCCAGTCTTTTATAGACTCACTGACTGAACTTTTCAAATGGATCTATCTTAGGAAGCTGCTTAAATATAACTACATCATTGGTTTTAGTTGCCTTAGGCAACACTTAATCCTCTTTCCCATGAGATTGTGATAAAGCCTACATTTTATCCAGGTAATAGATATGTGATGACAGTGATTATAACAAAAATGACAACTCATCAGCTACCATGTATACTCTTACTACCACTAAGATGCTAGATTGCGTTCTAGGCATTTTGCACGCAGTATGTTTAATCTTACAACAACCAAAAGCAATTACCTTTATTATACCCCTTTTACAGTGAAGACACTACATGTCAAGGACTTGATTTGATCATTCACGTTTACTTAAGTTGTATGAGCAAAGATTCAAACCCAAAATTATTTAACTCAGTAAGTGTATTTGGTGTGAGTATAATGCTCTTTTATTATAAATTAAGTAAAAGAAAATGATCTTTTACTGAAGGGAGTCACATTAACCAAATGTACATGAAAACAAAAGAAGTATTTAAAGAGTTTTAACTTCTTACTTATAAAAATTCTTGTTTCCCTTCTGCTGACTATAAATGTAAGCTCCTGTTTTCCTTTAGGAGGTCCCTCCTATATCATGATGGCATTAATATGAACATGGACATATTGAGGCTAATTTCTAGTCTTCATGAACATAACCATCAGTGAAAGTGTCCCTATCAGGAAAAAAAAAGTTAACCATGAATTTGATTTTGTAGAATACAGTATTTGAGGAACTTTCTAAACATTAGGATGGCATTATCATGATGGGTATTCTCTTACTGCCGACATACCTGTCTATAAATTAAGCTGGATATGTTCACCAATCTCGTCTCACTTTAGCATTATCCTTCACAGGTGACTTTTTAAAAATTGCTACACAGATTTTAATAACAGATATGATTAGAATAAAATACAAGAACGTGGTTGTCTTGTTGGTGTGCTAAATTATGAATTAAATCAATACAGTTCTCTTCTATGTCAGGCTTTCCATTAGCACATCCATACAATAACCGTCACATACTAAATGATGAATCAGTGTTTGTTGAATGAATAATTATCTCGCAGTGTCCAACCTCTTGGTGTTTTTTGCAATATGACATTTTAATTGATATTACAACCATCACAGAACTTCTGAGCTTTAGATGTTAAGTGTCATCTGCTTCACGATCAGTAAATAGATATCTTCTCAAATGACAGTCAGAAAACTGCTGAATGATCTGTGTGAGGAAGGATTGTAAGTTCACAGCAGATCCATCAGGGGAAAAGGGTTATGATGGAGTGGTTATGTGTGTCGTGGGCACAGCTGGAGAAGCACCAGCACGCATGCTTTGTGTTTGTCAGACATGATCTAGTCCAACCTGAGGGTCAGCGCATTTTTCAGCATGGTATGATAGGCGATTCCCTAAATGTCTGGTATAGTGGCTCTTCTCTGCTATACACATTTTGTAGTCTGTTTTCTTCTGACTTTTAAGAAGAATCTATCTTTGTTCTCAGGGCTAGGTTTGAGAGTGCAACAACTAAAGAGGCAAGAGCATTTGTAAATATTTTGGTCATTCTCAGAAATGGTCTCAGGATACATACCTGTTATTAAAATCCAGCCAAAGGTCACATTCTTTCTATGTTTGCTGGTGGCACATCATGTGGGAGGGCTAGAGAGAAAAACTTAACATTCTGTGAGAAATGGACCTCAAGTACAAAAGGCAAAAAAACCCTTTTTCTGGGTTAAAATCATCACCTTGATACACACGCAGCAGCTGCGGCGCTTGCTTTGCTGACTAAGGAACGTGCGAGGGGCACGCATGGAGTGTAGACGTGTTGCCCTGCCTGTCATCAGCCAGCGTCTCAATGCCTGTACTTGGTATGGATTTCATCTGGAGAGAAGCAGGGATCACAGCCGCGCCAGCGCCCATTAACACAGCTGCGGTTAGATGGGTTAACGCCGATGAGACCACTCACCAGTCACTTTAAGCATACTCATTCATATTCCTCAGGCGTCCCTTGTGTTCCAACATGAATTATCCTGCAGTTGTGAAATATGACCTGGTTTGTCCAGAATAAAAAAAAAAATCAGCTATTACATGAAGGGAGGCCCTTCTGAGTTGCTAATACCATATAGATCCTTTTTTAAAAAAAATCCTCATTTTTTTGTATTATAAACACGTTAAATTTCAAAGTAGCAAGGCTTTGAATTTTCAATGCTTCAGCTCATCTTTTAATTTGTTTTGAAGTAATGTACTTTGGGAAGAATAATATGAAAATGTAACTTTCCCATCTGTAACTCATCGAGAGAATAACAGTATGAATCATAAAGTAAAATACACATTACACATCTTCCATAGTAATAGATCCTATTAAAAAAATAAATATGTCATCTGTTACACTGATGACCTTTGGTCTCTGGCTTTCATCATTTTGGTAGCAGCTCACTCCCTTTGTGTCCTTGTTCCTCATAGCTGTGTCCTGTGGAAATCCCGGCACGCCCACAAATGGCATGATTGTCAGCAGTGACGGCATCCTGTTCTCCAGCTCGGTCATCTACGCCTGTTGGGAAGGCTACAAGACCTCAGGGCTCATGACGCGGCACTGCACAGCCAACGGGACCTGGACGGGCACAGCCCCTGACTGTACAGGTTGGTGATCGCTGTTATGGGCCCTCGAGGCCATGACCATGATATCTACTTGACTGAGAAAAACTAACTTATTCTATAAAGCATCGTATTGATTTTTTTTAACACAGAGAAAAAAAAGGTATACATATGTTTGATACGATGACCCTATTAGATAGTTTTAGGTCTTTCTTCCCTTTGTAATTTATATGGTTGAAACTGTTTTCAATGGTCAGTTGGGTGGGACATTGTAAAGCTGGGTCCGAAGAAAGTCTAGGTTTGTCCTCTCTGTAGATCATTTATTTTGCAGGGAAATAAGACAAGTGTTTAATTCTCTGATCACATTCCAAACACACTGTTCCTGACAGCCGGTCAGTAGTGTCGTCTGAGGACGGTGTTGCTGTAATAATTTTCTACTTAATCACTTTGAATAGCAGCTTAAGGGGAGTAACTTGAAAAGAAACTGTGACTAATTCATTTAATGGTAATTTTGTATTTTTCTAATTTTTTTTTTGTCATCTCCTCCTTGTTAGTTATAAGCTGCGGGGACCCAGGTACCCTGGCAAATGGCATCCAGTTTGGGATGGATTTCACCTTCAATAAGACCGTGAGCTATCAGTGCGATCCCGGCTATGTCATGGAGCCCATCACCTCGTCCACCATCCGTTGTACCAAAGACAGTACGTGGAATAACAGCAAGCCGGTCTGCAGAGGTGTGTGTCAATACTTCTTTGGTCTTATTCATGCACACAGAAGTGTTTATTGAGTTACGTTTTGCTGCATTTGCAAGCATTTATGTAGTCCTTCTGTGTGCTAGGAATTCTTGGAAACTCATTTGCAAATAAAAATCACTTCATTTTCTTAATACATTAATCTCAGTTTTATAGTTGGGGAAACCGACTCACAGAGAGAGTTAGTAAATGGCTCAGGACACAAATCAGGAACAAGAGACGTTGGGACTCAGATGACAGGCATGCTACCTCTAAGTCTGTGTGTTTGTTTTTGTTTTTTTTTTTTAAGATTTTATTTATGTATTTGAGAGAGAGAGAGAGAGTGAGGGAGAGAACACGCTCAGAGGACAGAGGGAGAAGAAGGCTCTCCACTGAGCAGGGAGCCCAACATGGGCTTGATCCCAGGACCTGAGCTGAAGGCAGAGGCTTAACTGACTGAGCCAGCCTGGCACCCCTAAGTCTATGTTTTAAATGCCAGAACATTCCTCTCTTGATACACCTGTTAACCCCAGCTATATTAAGGCTTACAGCAGATATGGTGGGAAAGTGTAATTATAGGACTTTCAAGTCAACTTAGAGAGAGGAGCCAATCATCCAATAATGGCAGAGCACGTTGGTACCATGATGTTCTGGGGGGTCCGGCTGCTGGGAAACATTTTTGACCCATGCCGTTGGACTTGCCAAGGAGAGTGGGGCAGGCTGAGGCCAGTCTAGTGGCCTGAGTGAAGGAGTGGCAGGGTGGGCTCTGATGGTGAGAGAGGATGGGGCTGGTGGAAGTCGTCCAAAAGCAGGGGTCTGCATGGTTAGGACCCCCGTCCAAAAGCAGGGGTCTGCATGGTTAGGACCCCTCCGCCAGCACTGCAGGGAGCACATGCAGGCTTTCTTCTCAGCCAGGCCAGAGTGGGGCAGGAGGGCCACAGAGGCAGCTAGGGCACAAGCGTGCTGGCCCAAACATAAAAATGCGGTGCCTGCTCCTTATCAGCCTAGGATCACAGACAGTTCTGTGGGAGTTCCACACTGGACTGTGGGTGGTGGTGGTGAGGAAGGTGTCATCTTCAGTGGGCTCTGAGAGACAGTTGGGGCTTGGGTCTCACGTGGGCAGAGCTTGGTGGGAGGCCTCAGTGAGAGTCCGGTGCTCAAGCACATGGCTTCCTCTCCCTTCTGATGCGGGCATGTTCTGGGACTGTGTTTCCCTCCTACCAGGGGGTAAGGATCACCAGATCTCCTGTTCCTCCACCTGCTATCATTAACACTGCACCTGCTGCAAAGCGGGCATTAGATGATTTTGACAAACTCACAAAGTAGTGTCAGGAGGGGTCTAGTCATCTGAGCACGTTGATGACAGTGGCCAATAAAATGGTCTGGCCTCTGGGATGTCACATGTTTTTGTCGACTTCTGTTTCCCTTTTTAATAGTCAGTGCAGTGGTCATTGCCTCTGTGGCCAACCAGGCCTTTCCAGATGAGACCACTCTCCCCCTCTGAACTGGTCTCAGGCTCGAACCCTCCTCACACTCTGTGTGGAACCACATGGCTCATTACTGCTCCCGCCTGGAGGACTGTCCACTTGCTCTTCCTGTCCAGAGCACTTGTTCCCCGCCCCCTCCCATATGCATTCTCAGAAATATTGGTTGAAAACATGCCTAAGATAAAGGGCAGTAGAAAGGCCCATTTCCAGCTGCTGGGTATGCACGTGGGATTATGCGTGTGACAGTGTCTTCCTCATATGAGAATGTGTGAGTGTGAGCAGGCAGGAGAAAACCCAGGTGAGGATGAATATATGGGTGAGTTCCTTCTCCTGCTGCCTCCTGTCACTGGCAAACCTGCTCCAAGCTGGGAATCCAGAAAGCTCTTGACTCTCCCAGGAAGATGTGTCCACAGTGCTCCCCAGCCCCCTGCACTTTGGTGTAATGGCCAGACTGGAAGGGGCCATGGGGGGCCACCATCAAGGGCTGATCATCCTTGAGAACTGTGTTCATGCTCTGCAGCTCCACACCACATAAATATCCGGCTCAGGGATGCTATAAGACTCGGGCTGGGGATATCTCATAGAACCTTTGTAACCATGCATCTGCCTGGTTTTTAATGATTCAGCAAATGGTTCAACAGTCCATGTCTTCTAGATATTATATGCTATCTTTAAATGTAAAAAATGCAGATAGTTTACCATCTGTATACATACATCCAGAAGGTTGTGCTCATGTCATATGAGTGATTTGTCCTTAGGAACCACCATGAAAAGACAGACATTGAATATGAGTATCTCTTCCTTTCTTGCCTTGTACCTATTGAGGATGTCGTGTTCAATCCTGCTTTCTTTTACAGTGTGATGTGTTGTGATCTAAATTAATGAAGAAATATTGGAGAAAAGTTTTATTATTTCGATCTGCTGTCTTCCTCAATAATCCTTTTATTAAAAGAAAGCAACCCTATGTGGATGCCCTTTGTAATTCAGGTGAAGTTAAAATGTGGGCCATCTGAGTGTTCCAGCTGGGGTGGGGCCCTGAATGTTCAGTCTCCTCTGTTCTTTGGAAACAGCTCTCATGTGTGGTCAGCCTCCTCAAGTGCCACATGGAAAAGTGGAGGGAGTGGATTTCCACTGGGGCGCCAGCATAAGTTACAGCTGCGTGGACGGCTTCCAGCCCTCCCACTCTGCCATTCTTTCCTGCGAAGGCCACGGCGTGTGGAAAGGAGAGGTCCCCCAGTGCCTGCGTAAGTCCTCCAGCAATGCTCCTTCCTGGGTCCCGTTGCGCTGGACCCACGTGAACGTGTTCCGCTCCCCCCCTCGCTGGTAGCCATGCTACAGGATGCAGAGGCTCACATTCGAGGGCGCCCTGCTCAAGGTAGATTCTGCCCCTCAGTCATTGATGGGTCTAATAGTTACACCCAAAGATTTTGCAGATGCTTGTGACACAAGTTGAATAAGTTAACCTGACCCAGCAGTGCATACCATGAGCTGACTGCTTGTTGTCTTCCACAGCTGTGTTCTGCGGAGACCCAGGCACCCCTGCGGAGGGGCGACTCAGTGGCAAAAGCTTCACCTATAAGTCGGAAGTCTTCTTCCAGTGCAAATCTCCCTTCCTACTGGTGGGGTCCTCCAGAAGAACCTGCCAGGCCGACGGCACGTGGAGTGGCACACAGCCCACCTGCATCGGTAACAACTGCAAGACAGCCCCGCAGTGCTTGGGGATGAGGACATTCTCTCTAAAATCTGATCCTTTGTGGGTCCACAGATAATGTTCCCATAGATCATTCTCTGTGGAAGCACTACGTCTGCTACTCTGGTTAAATCGTGCAAGCCAAATTTGTAATTGAAGTCAGGAGGCTATTAAAACACCTGCCAGGTTTTGCTCTCTCGTTTCCATGTCCCCACCTCAGCGGGCAGGTGCATTCTTGCAGGGGAAGACAGCGTCAGTGAAGATGCAAAATAGCCGTCACCAGAAAGGCAGCCTGGCTGTTGCTTGGCGGCCGTTCCCTTGGTGCCCTGTCTCTTGTGCACAGTCCGTCCCCCCTGAGCCATCCGCACTAGCAGTGCTCGAAGGACTGGGGCAGTACCTTCTGGTGACCGGAGAATATGATGCTGAACCTTGCAAGTCAGAAGACGCTTTCCATGTGACTTAAACCCCGCATTTTTAGTTTGAGTTTCTGTCTCATGGAAAGGATTCAGATACAAGTTGTATTTGTCAAAAGTCAAATTATTAGTGGCATAGATACCAGAATGGTTCATTTCCAGTAAGAGCAATTTCCTTTAGACCTCACTGCTAGAGACTCAAGCTTATTGATGGGTTAATTTTTTCATTCAGCTGTACTGAGCTGAAGAGTAGATATTCTGCATATTTGCAGGAAACAATTAATGATCTACAGTCTTGGTTGTTTTCTAAGAAATGGAATGATTTCTACTTAAAAACAAAGACGTTCAGAAATAATTTCATTGAGGGGCGCCTGGGTGGCTCAGTTGGTTAAGCGACTGCCTTCGGCTCGGGTCATGATCCTGGAGTCCCGGGATCGAGTCCCACATCAGGCTCCCTGCTCAGCAGGGAGTCTGCTTCTCCCCCTGACCCTCTTCCCTCTCGTGCTCTCTATCTCTCATTCTCTCTCTCTCAAATAAATAAATAAAATCTTTTAAAAAAAAAGAAATAATTTCATTGAAGCACTGTTTGTTTTTAGTAAGACTCACATGTACTGCTGCTTCATTTAAACTGTTGCTACGCGCTTGCTATCTCTGTACTAAGACACGGTGTTCCTCCCTCCCATAGGTTAGTTTCTCTTGAAAACAAATGTTTTTGTAAGTTAGCTATTTTGTTTTCATACTAGCAGCTAGAGAGCACCAAATAATAAAGCCACATACTTCTCATTGCTCAACTCGTACATTTTTTGAGGAGGTAAAATGTCACTTTGGGTCTACCATATGCCTCAATCTTGAAGCATTCAATGTATTTTTCATTTGGAAGTCTCGAAGAAAATTAATTCAAGAAATTGCAATATTGTAATGGATGACTAAGAGATGGCCATTAATTGAATCCTTAAGAACCAACGGATCATGTAATTATTGAAGATGGTATATCAGTAACCAGCCAATATAGTATGTTCGACCAGAAAATGGGAAAGAATGTTCATTCCAATACAGAAAATAATATTCAGAGCACTTTAGAATCTGGTAAAGGACTAAGGAGTAATATCTATGGAAGAAGTGTGAAAGGAAGATGAAAATAGCAATTTACTTTAATTTTTAACTTTCGTGCAAAACATCTTACACATTTGTCAAAACATAATTTTCTCAATTTTGTAAGACCTTTTAGTAAAAATATTGGAATCCTTATAATAACCATATCTGGCACTCATGTTTTTTCTTTCTTCTTTCTTTCT